ATTGGCTGTTGCGTGCTCTGTGGCTGCGACGGTGGCTCAGGATGCCGGCGTTCCCATAAGGGTGCCTCTTCACCCTGTTGTGGCTGCTGCTGCCCGCCGGTCTGTCAACCAGCTCCTTCGGTGACTCCTGCCGTCGTGGCGACGACTGTTGTGGCGGTGAATTCGGTGGTGGCGATTTTGGTGGCGGCGACTGTGGGGGCATTGGCTGTTGCGTGCTCTGTGGCTGCGACGGTGGCTCAGGATGCCGGCATTCCCATAAGGGTGCCCTCTTCACCCTGTTGTGGCTGCTGCTGCCCCGCCGGTCTGTCAACCAGCTCCTTCGGTGACTCCTGCCGTCGTGGCGACGACTGTTGTGGCGGTGAATTCGGTGGTGGCGATGTTGGTGGCGGCGACTGCGGGGGCGTTGGCTGTTGCGTGCTCTGTGGCTGCGACGGTGGCTCAGGATGCCGGCGTTCCCATAAGGGTGCCTCTTCACCCTGTTGTGGCTGCTGCTGCCCCGCCGTTCTGTCAACCAGGACCGTCTTCACCTTCACCTGCTCCCGTGCCTCCGACGCCGTCTCCTCTGCCAGCCTTCGGTGCTGCCGTGGATCGCGCGAGTTACCACCCCAGCACTTACCCTCACCCTCGCCCCGCCGAAACCACTTAGGCTAGCATAGCAGGCCCTAACATCAACAACGTTGACGATGCAACAAAGTTGCACCGACTCAACTTACACAAACAAATATAAGACCTCAGCAACCAAACATCCGTTCCAAATGAGGAATGGGGAGTAATCAGATTCTCGGCCAGCAAAAAGAGCAAGGCCAGCATTTTGTATTTAAGTTCGAAACCAAGAAACGAAATATAGATTCAGAATAATTTTGTAACTCAAACAAACCGGGTGTCTTTAATTCCGTAAAAACCAATATCGGCAAACCAATCTCTCAAGGAAAACCTCTACAGATACACTAGTATCATAACTGGCGCAGTCGGACACTCTCGTTTAAGGACGGAAATCTGGAGGAACTAGGACCCTAGAGGACCGAGACAGCGAGAGAGAATCACGCAAGAGATGTATTGGAAAATAGCGACGCTCATAACCCTGTAAGGAAAGATATCAAGAAATATGTACGTGTGAGTAGAGTGACGTGAAATGGAGAAGAAATAAAATGTAATAAACCTTCAAAGGGAAAAAGAAAAGTGAAAATACAATGGTGAGCAGTGAAATGGGCAATCAGTAAAAGAGAGATAGTATGGCACATTGGCCAGGGCAGTGGATTCGAGCTAGTCGAACCAAAACGAACATAATAATTCAAATAAATTGTCAAAGAGGAGTGAAGAGAAAAGAGTGCAAGTTTGTCGTGGAAAAATGTTGAGCGGTGGACAGCGGCTCGAGAGGGAGCGGTTCGATCGTGCGAGGTTCGAGCGGCGGCGGATCGGGCGTTGCGGTTCGACCGGTTGCGGGTCGACCAAGTGCGGTACGATTGGCGGCGGTTCGACCGACTGCGGTTCGATCGGCGGCGGTTCGACCAAGTGCGGTTCGATCACCGGCGGTTCGACCGAGTGCGGTTCGATCGGCGGCGGTTCGACCGAGGGCGGTTCGATCGGCTGCGGGTCGACTGAGTGCGGTTCGATCGACGGCGGTTCGACAGAGTGTGGTTCGAGCAGAGGCGGTTCGACAGTGGGTCGAGTCAAACATCGAACGGTCGAAGATGATACACACACAACATAGAGTCGAGGCTGGCACGAAAAGATAAACTGTACAAAATACAAAGAATAAAACACCGAAAATGGTGAGGGGCAAGACTCCGAGAGGGAGGCGGTATAATTAAAAGAGATGAAATCTGAGTCACTCACATGCGTAGGGCAAAGTACTGTAACGCACAGTGCGGATGCCTAGTGTAGGGGTGACAAGGAGAAAAGTGAAGAGTCGATTACAAGTCCAAGTCACTCACATGCGTAGGGCAAAGTACTGTAACGCACAGTGCGGACGCCTAGTGTAGGGGTGACAAGGAGAAAAGTGAAGAGTCGATTACAAGTTCCAAGTCACTCACATGCGTAGGGCAAAGTACTGTAATGCGCAGTGCGGACGCCCAGCATAGGGGTGACGGGGGGATGGAACAAGGAAACGCTACCAGGGAGACACGACTGTCCGCATTTGGTCACAGATACTGTAACGCACAGTACTGCGACTAGCTTCAGCGTGTAGGGAAAGCCACTAAGTAGATAAAAAGACGCACATGAGGCGATCGAATAAATATAAATGAAGAATAAACCATTTCACGGCACACCATACTAGTAGAATATAATATTGGAAAAAATACTCACTTTAATCAATTACAGACTCCATTTCACGGGCACAAGGACACACAAGGACACACTAAATTTAATTTAAACGCTTAAGCACACACGCACACACATACACATATACCTACTAAGATATAAGTACACTATATATAATTACACACGCAACATCATACACACAAACACTAAGAAGACGTAGAATAAGAAAAGAGGATTCGAAATAGAATTTATGTCAAAAGAAAGCAGTAACCAAAGGGTTATTCCGGTAGACACGGAAGCTTCAGTAGCTACAGACGAGAACCAGGGACAGAGAAATGAGCCAGCCCAGACACGAACCTGCTCGAAGCGGTTCGGGTCTAGAGCTGGTGGAGATCATACCAAAGTATGAAGGAAGTGTAGAGAAGTTAGATGGGTTTATATCAGCAGTAGAACAGATATTAGGCCTTATAAAAGGAGAAGAAAGGTCATCGGTAGGAGTGATAGCACTTAGGGCTATAAGAGCAAGGTATAGGAGCGGCAGATAGGGCATTGGAGTTGAATGAGGTCGATTTGAATTGGGACAACATTAAGAAGGCATTGGTGGCCCATTTTAGGGATAAAAGATCAGAGCAGGATCTAATCATGGAACTTACACACATAAAAGAGAAAAAACTGGATCTAGAGCCATTGTATCAAAAGGTGCTAGAGTTAAGAAAGGCCCTCGTCAGCTTGGGTAAGGCGAAAGAGCCGAACTCTTTGTTAAGGAAAGAAAAGACCAAGTGGTACGAGGACATAGCACTAAACGCTTTTCTCTCGGCTATAAAAGGGCCGATAGGGCTAACAATTAGGAATATCCACGTAGACGACATTTCAAAGGCATACGAAGTAGCCTGTAGGGAGAAAAACGTCTATACTCTAGACGAGCCGGAACAAGAGGTAAAAAAGTACCCGACAACAGAGAACCAGGCTAAGGAAACTAAAGAACCTTTAGCGCAAGAGCACGACAGAAAAGAAGTTCAGACACCAGGAGTGCACCGAGAAATGCCAAGTTGGCAGCAGCACCAATGGGGAGCCAACGGTCAATCATCGTTCGGCATGCCGTTCCCAATGGGTAATGGGAGCGGATGGCCTGGTTTTGGGTTCGTCTACCCAATGGGAGGAAATCCCTTCAGGGGAGCTCCCTTTATGCAGAACGATCAAGCAGGGTACACTAGGGGTCCATATCGGAATCAGCAGAATAGGAACCCTAGATGGGGTTATGACCAACAGAACAATGGAAGGCGCTGGGGCCAGAACAATCGTCAAGAGCAATTAGCGATCCAGGCACCACAAGACGCAGGGAGAAGCGGACAATCTAGGATGTCGGGATCGACAAATAACACAGGGCAGTCATATAACTCCAATAACTCCAGACAGTCGTATGCAGCACAGCAGACACCTAGCACCTCGACTAGAGTTAGCGGACAACCTGCAGTTGGTCAGCTGCACAATATTCAGGAAGAGGAAGGAAATTTTCGCCAGGCAGCCTCGAACAAAGCACAGGATACCTAGGACGAAAGAAGAATCAGTCGACCCTGCCCTATATAATGGTTAGACTGACAGCAGATAAAAATATTAAAATGCTTATAGACACAGGATCCACATTTTCTTTCATAAGACCAGAATTAGTACCCGCAGAACACACTAGAAGATTAAAGGACCCAATAAAAATAAAAACAATCGTACAATCCCACGAAGTACAGAAGGAGACAGTCTTAGCCATGTTCAGAGAACTAGGAGGAGTAGGGGAGATGAGATTGCTACTCTTTAAATTTCATCAGTTCTTCGATGGGTTAGTAGGAATAGACATACTACAACAAATAGGAGCAGTAATTGACGTAGACAAGCGGCAGTTGCGTACAGCGACGACAGAAACACAGATATGGCAGACGCAATACAGAGCAACGGAGGTATATACAATAGAAGCGGGCACAAAAAGGGTCGTAAAGGTGCCGGTACAGCTACAGGAGGGGGAGTTCATAATTAATAAAACGAAAGTAAAACCTTATATGGAAATATCAGAAGGCCTGTATAGGGCAACAGCAGGATCAAGTCTGGTAGAGATAACCAACTATTCGGAAGAGGACCAGGAGCTGTTTCTGGAGGAACCACTAGTGGTTTCAGAACTCAAGGCCGGAGACCATGTAGAAATAAACAACATAGAAAACGTAAAGAATATAGGGAGGAAAGGAATTCCGTTTGATAAAATAAGAACAGATCATTTAAACGAAGAGGAAATTACTGAACTAAAAAGGCTATGTAAAAAATACCCATTGGCATTTTATATGGAGGGAGAGGATTTATCGTTCACAAACGTCGTCAAACATCAAGTGAGGACAACGGACGATATCCCAGTGTACTCAAGGCCATATAGATACGCATTCACAGAAAGACAAGAGGTGAAAAGACAAATAGAAAATTTATTGGATCAAAAAATCATTAGGCACAGTCACTCCCCATGGAGCGCTCCAGTGTGGCTGGTGGCCAAAAAGAAGGATGCGTCGGGACAAAGAAAATGGAGGATGGTAGTTGACTATAGGAAACTCAACGAAAAATTGATTAAGGACAGGTACCCCATGCCAATAATAAACGACGTATTGGATGGGTTAGGAAGGGCAAAATACTTTTCGACGCTAGATTTGGCGAGCGGGTATCACCAGATCGAAGTGGAAAAAAGGGATATACCAAAGACAGCATTTTCAGCGGAAGGGGGTCACTTCGAATACGTGAGGATGCCGTTTGGGCTCAGTAATGCCCCAGCGACGTTCCAGAGAGTGATGAATAACCTTTTCGGGGAGCTGTTGGGGAAATGTTGCCTCGTATACATGGACGACATCATGGTGTATTCCGCATCCCTACAAGAGCACATGAACGATTTAGACAGAGTGTTCGCAAAATTAGACAACGCTAACTTCAAGCTACAATTGGACAAGACAGAATTTTTGAGAAAAGAGGTAGAATACCTAGGTCACGTAGTAACCCTAGAAGGAGTTAAACCGAATCCCAAGAAGATAGAAACAATAAAAAGGTTTCCAATCCCAAAGACTAGGAAACAAATAAAATCATTTTTGGGACTCTTAGGATATTACAGGAAATTCGTAAAGGATTTCGCGGCTATAACAAAACCACTAACGAGACAGCTTAAAGGGAAGAAACCGGTACAAATTGACACAGAATTCATAGAAACATTCGAAACATGTAAAACACTGCTGTGTAACGACCCCATTTTGCAGTTTCCCGACTTCTCGAAACCATTTATTCTTACAACAGATGCAAGCAACTATGCCGTAGGAGCTGTCTTGTCCCAAGGACATTTGGGAGCGGACAGACCGTTGGCGTATGCTAGTAGAACATTGTCAGACACGGAAATAAACTACGCAACGATAGAAAAGGAGATGCTTGCTATTATCTGGGCAATAAAGCATTTCAGACACTATCTATTTGGACAGAGATTTAAGATAGTCACGGACCACAGACCGTTGACGTGGCTAATGAGTATAAAAGAACCAGATTCAAAGTTGGTTAGGTGGAAATTGCAATTGCTAGAATATGATTATGAAATCCTATACAAAAAGGGATCCCTCAACGTAGTGGCAGACGCTTTGAGTAGGATACAGCCGGAGATCAACATGCTAGAAAACATGTCGGGAGCAGCGACTAACGGGGAAACCATGCATTCCGCAGAAGAGGACTTACATCTCGGGTTTCCTATATCAGAGAAACCACTAAACGATTATAATATTCAAATAGTAGTAAAAAAGGGAACCCCAGCTAGAATAGAGAAGGAAGTCCCCTTTAGGAATAAGATCAGGATAACATGGACCGAAGATAATTTCGAAGAAGAGACAATAGGACGCAAGCTTAAAGAGATTCTGAAGCCCAATAGAACAGCGGCAATTTTTATACCAGAGGAACTGGTTATAACTATACAGAATGCTTATTGTAAATATTTTGCCTATAGCAAAATTTATAAGGCTATAAGATGCACATTTATATTACCAGAAATAGTGGAAAGAGATCAGCAGGAAAAGGCAGTCAAAGAACATCACGAAAGAAATAATCATAGGGGAATAGAAGAAACGTTAGTTCACATCAAAAGAAGCGTATACTTCCCACATATGAAGCCAATAGTAGCGCAGACAATTAACAATTGCGACAGATGTCAGAAGATGAAATACGATAGGAATCCCCAAAAGATAAAGTATAGTATAACGGAAACCCCGGCCAAACCGATGCAAATAGTGCACATAGATTTATATTTTGTAAACAAGAAGTACGTATTAACGATCATTGATAAATTCTCCAGGTATGCGTGGGGATACACAATTCCAGCTAGGGACAGCATAAATGTAGTCGCATCATTGAGGGACTTTATGGCTCTTTTCGGGATCCCTAGCAAAATAGTTTGCGATCAAGGAGTAGAATTTTCTTCTAATCTGTTCAAGGATTTTTGTAAGCAATATGAAATAGAATTGCACACAACGTCCTTTCAACAGTCCTCGAGTAATGCAACAGTCGAAAGATTGCATTCAACAATTACAGAAATCTATAGGATAATAGTAGAGGAGAAAAAGGAAAGGAAGTTACAGGTCAAACACGAAGATATAGTGAAGGAGGCATTTATCACATACAACAACTCGATCCATTCGGCAACAAAGTTTACGCCACACGAGTTGTTCACAGGGAGAACGCATAATTTTATGGGTAACGTGACATTCAGTAATGAGCACGATTATCTCCAAAAGATTAATGCGTTCCAGGAGGAAATATACCCAATGGTGAAAGAAAGGGTACAACAACAAAAAGTTAAGAGAATAAAGGCGGCAAATGAAGACAGACAAGACCCATTAGATGTATGCACCAATGACACGATTTTTAGAAAGGAGAATAGGCGGGATAAGCTAACACCAAGGTTCACCACACATAAGGTGGCAACCGACAACAACTTAACAATAAACACAACAAAACCACAGAAAATCCACAAGGAAAAAATTAGGAAGGTTACCAGAACTAACGATCGATCATAATTTCAGATGGGTTACAGCGATGGAGACGGAAGGAAAGTTTGAAATCAGGGAGTTTAAGGAGGATGAGCCAATTGCACAAATCACATTAGGACCAACCAGGATAGTACAGACACATAAAACCTTTATACACATAGTCCGATTAGAGGAATATGTAAAGAGTGTTGACCATTTAGACCAAACGCTTAGGACCATACAAGAGGACACCGAAACAAAAGATCTAGTTAGGGCACTTCAGAACAAGTTAAACCTAGTAAAAGGAAGAATAGATACGATATCTCCCAAGAAGAGAAGTAGGAGGGGACTGTTTAACGGATTAGGTTCTGTAGTTAAGGCAATCACAGGAAATTTAGACGCAGAAGATGCGGACAAATTAGAACAGGAGATCAGAAGAGTACAGGAAGAAGAGAGAAGGTTAAATGAAGAAATAGGTACACGCCAGAACATGGACAATAGGTTCATTATAATGTTCAGGAACTTAACACAGCATATTAACGAAGAGCAGGTTAGGGTAAACTCTTTTATCAGCAATTATAAAAATGGGATAAGCAAAACATTCGTGGAAGAGGATAAAAGAATTTATAGAATTGAGTACATCGATAGAATTTCAATCACTATAGATATGATATCAATGAACCTCAACGAGGTAACGGAAAGCCTATTATTAGCAAGGGTAGGAATAATCCCCAAGTTTATATTAAATAAAGAAGAATCCCGGAAAATTACTCAGAATTTGGAAGACCAAGGGGTGCAGATTTTATCGGAAGAACACATGTACGAATTTTTAGAGTTAAAAGCCATAATGAATGGTACTGACATTATATTTTCATTAAGCCTACCAATATTTAAGAAAGAAATGTTCACACTGAAAAGAATACTACCATTACCTATAAATAAGACAGAATTTGTAATAGCACCTAATTTTGTAGCTTATAACAAAAACGAAATGTACTATTATAAGGACAAATGTCAAAAAATAAGGGAAATTTATACATGTAAAAATGACAAGAGCGTAAAGAGAATCAATGAAGGTTGTCTGAGAAGTCTTATCAAGGGAGAAGCAACTGAATGCGAGACAAAAGATACAGGATTTCGCAGGGAAATTTTCCAACCGGAGAAAGGATACATCGCAATTTTCAATGGCGAGAAGGTGAGGATACAAACGGATTGTGGACCCGAAGACACATTCAGCGGATCAGCAATGATCATTTTCAACAAGTGCGAAGCAATAGTCAATAACATTCAATACGAGGCCGTAGAGCAACTGGAAGCGGGACACATGCAGCTCGAGATTCCACAGATAACGTTTTTGAAGAGAAACAGAACAACCCAAGAATTGGGAGTCCATGAGCTCAAGATGGACGACATCAAAACCAACCTGGAAATCGGAAGAATGCGAACCGGAATGGCAATACACGCTACAGCAACTTACGCAGCTTTCGGAGTACTACTGGTGGGCGTGATATGCACCGTCCACCTTTCAAGGAAGACAACCATTTATGCAACAACTACTTCAAACCCCGTGTCCACACCGGCGCCCACCTTCGCACCAACCATCCCTCCGTTATGGTCGGTAGCTCAGACTGAGGGGGGAGGAGTTACCACCCCAGCACTTACCCTCACCCTCGCCCCGCCGAAACCACTTAGGCTAGCATAGCAGGCCCTAACATCAACAACGTTGACGATGCAACAAAGTTGCACCGACTCAACTTACACAAACAAATATAAGACCTCAGCAACCAAACATCCGTTCCAAATGAGGAATGGGGAGTAATCAGATTCTCGGCCAGCAAAAAGAGCAAGGCCAGCATTTTGTATTTAAGTTCGAAACCAAGAAACGAAATATAGATTCAGAATAATTTTGTAACTCAAACAAACCGGCGCGTTGCTTCGCGGCTCCTCCTCCCATACCTTCCGGTCTTGCTGCGCCTCCGCCTGTTCCTGTGGCGGCTCCTTCGGTGACTCCTGCCGTCGTGGCGACGACTGTTGTGGGGGTGGAATTCGGTGGTGGCGATGTTGGTGGCGGCAACTGTGGGGGCGTTGGCTGTTGCGTGCTCTGTGGCTGCGACGGTGGCGGTGCGGGCTCACCGATGCCGGTGGCGTGGCGGTGTGGCGTCGTGCCGGCATAAGGGTGCCTCTTCACCCTGTTGTGGCTGCTGCTGCCCCGCCGGTCTGTCAACCAGCTCCTTCGGTGACTCCTGCCGTCGTGGCGACGACTGTTGTGGCGGTGAATTCGGTGGTGGCGATTTTGGTGGCGGCGACTGTGGGGGCATTGGCTGTTGCGTGCTCTGTGGCTGCGACGGTGGCTCAGGATGCCGGCGTTCCCATAAGGGTGCCCTCTTCACCCTGTTGTGGCTGCTGCTGCCCCGCCGGTCTGTCAACCAGCTCCTTCGGTGACTCCTGCCGTCGTGGCGACGACTGTTGTGGCGGTGAATTCGGTGGTGGCGATTTTGGTGGCGGCGACTGTGGGGGCATTGGCTGTTGCGTGCTCTGTGGCTGCGACGGTGGCTCAGGATGCCGGCGTTCCCATAAGGGTGCCCTCTTCACCCTGTTGTGGCTGCTGCTGCCCCGCCGGTCTGTCAACCAGCTCCTTCGGTGACTCCTGCCGTCGTGGCGACGACTGTTGTGGCGGTGAATTCGGTGGTGGCGATGTTGGTGGCGGCGACTGTGGGGGCGTTGGCTGTTGCGTGGTCTGTGGCTGCGACGGTGGCTCAGGATGCCGGCGTTCCCATAAGGGTGCCCTCTTCACCCTGTTGTGGCTGCTGCTGCCCCGCCGTTCTGTCAACCAGGACCGTCTTCACCTTCACCTGCTCCCGTGCCTCCGACCCGTC